AATTTATTTTATTCCTTTTATAAGGGTGAGAGCTTGAGCTTGCTCCTTTTCAATATTTAAAAAATGCTTTCCAAAGCATATGACTTAGTCCTTGGATGCTTAAATAACATAATGTGAATATAAATTTGTTGGTTAATTGAATAAACAACTTTTATTTTAATATATGTTCTTAAAATAATTAGTCACATTTTTGGGAAAAAATAATTGTAACTAATTTTAAAATGTTACTACAAGAGTAATTAGTTACTTTTCAAGTTACTAAAATTATTGTTTATTAAATATAATGTCTCATATCAAGTGCTCCTTTAAAACGTTTGTTTAGTCTAGAGAAGGCTATTTAGACACCAATTTTGGAAATGATTTATTGTTTAAGTAAAATAAAAAAAATATTTTTTAGTACAATTATTTCCTTATCTAAATTTTATTTTTTTTTGATTAAAATTTGTAAATAGCAAAATTATTTTTGTATAATAAAAAAATTATACTAAAAATGATGAGTTGTATAAATAATTTATTGAGTTACTTATAATATAACTCGTTACTTTTGAAATATAACTCTGGCTAGTTATTTTTGAAATATAACTGTAACTAGTTGCTTTTGAAATATATCTGTAACTAGTTACTTTCGAAATATGACTGTAACTAGTTTCTAAATATAACTGTAACTAGTTACTATTGAAATATAATTGCAATCAGTTACTTTTTCAAAATAAAACTAGTAACTGTAACTGTAACTAGTAACCATTTTAGAATGTAACTGTATAACTAGTTGTATTTCAAACATATATTGTAACATTTTTTAAAAAAAACAAAATTAACATTTTTTTTAATGTCACAACTAATTAATATTGTCAATATTACTTACTTATACATTGATAATGTTTAAATATAAAGTTGTTTTAGAAAATAAGAATAATTTTACAATTGAATATCTGATCTCCCCTGTGGCGTATAAATTAATTAAATTCATATATATTTTATCATTATAATTATTAATAAATGAAGAAAAAGCTAAATATTCACAATTTAACAAAATTTTAATTAAAAAAACTATAGGAATAAATAATTTCTATGAAAGTGTGTAGATTGATCTTATTTGACTTGTATAACAGATATTAAAATTTATTATTATATATAAGTGTGATTTATATATTTAAAAAATGACCTCCGTCGGTTTCTCTATTATTATTTCTCATGAACAAAAAAAATCCTGAATTAAAAGGATTTTCTTTTTGAGCCTAATTACTTAGAACCTACAATTATCAAGTTGATCATTTTGTTTTATAACTGTACATTTGCATAAATTGAGATTTTGGCGGACAATATTATCTGCATTTTCTTTGAAATATTCGAGGCTCTAAAATATTAAGGGGTAAATTATATTTTATATCTTACAAAAATTGTTTTTCTCGTGTATCTTGAACCAATACATCTGACGAATATCTAGGTTACTTAAAGAAATATATCTCTAGATACTTTTTGAGACAATTTTTAAATAATATAAGATATGCATAATGTCAAAATTGAAAATCTATTGTTAAAACTAAAATTGAATCAAATATTTTTTTAAAAGGTTTGATATTTTATTTATAAATAGAATAAATATATAAATAAATGATAATACCATCATTAGCTTTTAATAATAAAACGTCTAAAAGTTTTAATCAATGAGATATCCCTATATTTCCTTAAACACATCTTTAACCGCACTAAAAAATCTTCACTAGTGCAAAGTTAATATTGATATTTTTAGTTTATTACGGCTCAAGGAAGGCTTATCTTTTTTATTTTATAAAGAAATATAACCAATTTCTTTGCTTCTAATATTTTTATAACAAATTTTTTAAAGACTGCATCCAAACCATTTTTCGGCGCTTTTATAGTTTTAAGGAAACTTAATGCTAGTTTTTAAAAATTTCACAAATTTTTTTTTCAAAAAATGCTTTGACCACTTTTATAATTTTCTATTAAAAGGCTTATCTCGTGTTTTATGAGACGGTTTCTTGTAACGGGGTATAATAGATAGTAGATCAAAAGCGGCATGATATCACTTTTTAATATTTTAAAAATGGGCATTAGTGCATTTTAATAAAATTTGGCTATTGTTTAGCAAGAATTTGGTAATTGTCTAAACTATCTTCATAAAATTGGTCGTTGTTTAGCAAATGGTCATATTGGTAAAGTTTTAGAATTTTTTTTAGCCACGTTTCTCCTATAATCAGTTAGCCTAAAAAGTGACAAAATATTTTTCTCATTATCTAACTTACTATAGGAATTACTCATTTTATTATCATATTTGGTTCTTTGGCACTTTTTGGCGCTAAATTGCTAGTATCTTTGCTCATTTACCATTAAAATTTTTTTTTATTATTAAATCTAGTTATTTGCTATTAAATTTGGTCCTTTGGTATTTTTTTGCGTTTTTAGGCAATTAAAGACAATGATTATAAATATTGCCAGGTAAATTTTGGGAATTCATTTATATTTAAATCAGGTTTCAAACTCGGCTCATGGAATTATTATTTATATTTTTATGCAATTAAATTTTTTATTGAATAAAAATTCCAAAATTTGGGTGGGAAGGAGGGGTCTTTTAAAAATGCAAAAATCGAAGATAAGATTTGTATTTCTGAAAAATAATGGGGTTTTTTAAATTTGCTTTATTTCAAGTTACAAAATTATGACTATGAGTAATTACTAATCATTTAACTATCAGTTTTAAATCACTAATTAAAAGATTAATTGAATTATAGGCACCCACAGTACCTTAAATTTAATTTAAGAAATTTTTAAAATATTTTGATACTTCGCCCAATTCCTTAAAATTATAAATATATTTTTTTTATAAAGATATTTACATTTTATTCAAAATATATTTTTTTTATAAAGATATTTACATTTTATTCAAAATATATTTTTAGCCATGAAATAGTGTAAATCCGAAATTCCTAGTGTATATTTTCTACTTAATAATTTTCTCCATTTCGCATTTAATGTAAATTATTTCTTATTTGATTTGCTTAATTTAATTTATTTATAGGATGATAATAATGATTAATCCCTTAATCACCATGATATGATAAATTCAGAATTTCTTTCAAAAAATACATTTTTTTTATTAATATACTGGTATAAATGTAAATCTTTATATAAAATTCAAGAAAAAAGTTCTTCTCTCCTATTATTAATGTTCAAAAAATAAAACATTGGGAAATAAATACCTCTCTTTTGTAAAATAACCTCCAATTTGCATAAATTAACGCACACACATTTATATTGCATTATATAAGTTTTATTTATCTTGAACCCAACGACTTTGATTTGTCTGGAACTGACTTATTTAATTTAACTTCTCGAATTAAATACATAGTCCTTCATAATAGACTAGGCAGGTATTTATATTCTGCATTTCTAATCAATGGCATATTGTATCGGTTGAGAGGAAGGTGGAGAATATACCCACCAGGTTTATATGTGTATCCTCGAATTCTACATAGTTACAACTATGGGATTATAAAAATTAAAAATTATGCATCCCGTTTCTTTCTGCGAAACCAAAAACGATAATGCACTCAAATCCTATCTACTAAATTAACACCTCTCATAGATTGATTAAAGGAGACAATCAATCCTATTTAGTTATCCAATATTAATATATCCTTTGGGCTGGGAATCCTATCGTCTAACATTATTTAATAGATATATTCCTTAATAATGGCTGACAGCGACGTTTTTTAAAAAAAGATTAGTTCAATTTAAAAAAAATTGAGTAAGAACAAAGTAAATGTATTTAAAACGGTTTTACTTTTCCTATCTATAATTTCATTTTCTTAAATTATTTTAAAAAACTTTTATTAAAATCTGCGATCTCAAAATTATTAATTATGGATGTTAGTAATTTAACCCATATTTTTTTATAAGATTTTGACCCCCCCCCCCTCCCAATGCAAAATAAAATCTTAACACCACTGTATTTTGTAGTAATTATAACAATTTATCTAAAAATAGGTCTACGGCCATTTCCAAGCGAGACTTAACGGATAAGTTATGTTTATTTTTTTCTGTTTTGAAAAGATGCCTTGTTTGGAAATAGTCTACGTTTGGAAATAGTCTATATCAGTTTCCAAATGCTTAGAATTTAATTATGTAAAAAAATATAAGAAAGGCAAAATAATAAATTCTTATTTTAGAGATCGTTATTTATCAATGTTTGCAAGTTCGAACATGTATGTAACTATTTTGTCATATATTCAATAAATTAAAAATTCTGAAGATAATATTTTATAAAATATAGTAAATAATGTGAGTTGTTAAAAGAAATATTTTTTAAAAATTATAATTTTATTTAAAATATTTTTTAAGGGTTATTTATGTCCGGAAAAGGTGGCAAAAATTACAAACTTTAAAATGTCATAAATATAACAAAATAAGTTTAAAATTCTTCCTTAATTATTTTCAAAAATAGAAGGACGTGGTCAGACAGTGTGCATCCTTTTTAAATTATAAATCATAAAATAAGTATAAATTCTTAAATCAATGTTAATGTTTAAAAATCTAAACATTGGTAAGTATAGGTTAATTATTTGAAAGTTAGAATTTTTGGGCTGAAAATAATTTCCAATTGGATTTAACGTAAATTAATTACATTTAACCTATAATTTTATATTTTCCTTTTATATAGGATAGGATAATTATTTTACAATAGTAATAGTGAATTCACCACCTTTTTAATAAAACATTAAAAATTTCATAAATAGTTTCGAGTTACTTTTTAACGAAAAACCCACTACACTTTTTTAAATAATCTTTTTTAGTCACCCCTCCCCTCCCCCAGCAGCACATAAAGTTAGCAAAAACTTATGATTTCAACAATCACTATAAACCAATTTATAAATTTATTTTATATATTAGTTAACCTCCATTACTAAAGGAATGCTCTTGAGTATGACTGTTAAAAATATTTAAATATCCTAATTTATTTAATTTAATATAATAAACAGGTCAGCAATTATTTCATAATGAGTTTGGCATCTGCAGATCTCCTTTTGGGCTTATTAGTAATGCCTATTAGTATCGTTTATCTGTTATCCAACAAATGGGTCTTCGGCATGGCCTTTTGCAAGATATGGTTATCCATCGATTACACTGCCAGCACTGCCTCCATTTTTAATCTCTTCATACTAAGTTTAGACAGATATTGGTCAATCATATCTCCTCTTCGCTATCTCAAAAAGAGAACAAAAAATAGAGCAATGTCCATGATAGGCCCTGTGTGGCTTATATCGGCAACCTGGATAATACCTATTGTATGGTGGAACACTATTGACAAATCATTGCACGGGGCAAAAGATTCTAGAAGTTTAAACATGAGATCCACGTCTTTTATTGTAGAATGTAAAAATTTCTCATCCAAATGCCACATTAATAAATTTAACAATCCTATTTCGAATTTAAACTTTAACGTAACCTACTTAAATTATAGCCATATCAACCTTTATCCAAACCATACGCATTTAAGCATATATTCTTCGTCATATTCAATTTTAGACGTTCTAAACTATTATGTGCGGAACAGTTCATCGCTAAATAGGTTTATATACAGTGATAGTCATGGGAAGACCAATAAATCTTATTCCGAATGCAATGTAGAGTTTGCCAACGTAATGGCTTTGAAAATCATAACAGCCCTCATAAACTTCTATATCCCTGCTATACTAATGCTCGCACTTTACTGGAAAATATTTTTCGAAATTAAAAAACGTAGTGCAATCGAATTAAAATTAACTAATAACCCTGGAAATATGTCTGACAGAATTATGGACGATTTTTCTAAAAGACGAAAGGAAAACCATTATAACTCCTCTATGAAAGATGGCTACAGTTTATCTTCTATCTCATCTCGTTCACAATTGGGAAGTTTTAAACATAAATTGCATTCGCTATATAATTCACCTACCAGAAAAAGAAAGAATCGAATGATCCCACAATTAATGCCCAGAAGTTTAGACGAAGAAAATTGGGATGAGAAAAACTCTCCTAAAATTCTAGATAATACATTTACTACTCGAATCGATCTCCCACTATGTAACTTTGAAAAAGAGGTAAAAAGTATAACTCAGTTCACGGACCAAACAAAGTACGATTCGAAAAATATTCTTACACCTAAAGTCGGGAATGGGTCTGAAAATTCATTTGGGTTATTTAAATCTAGAATAACGCACAAATCCAAATCGCCCATTGAGAAAAATTCGGATTACAATTGTGATATAAGCCATAAAATATTTAACAGAATTATTTTGGAAGAAGTTAAATATGACAAAGTATCGAGTCATGATATCGAAAAAGCCTGCCATGAAAAGATTGATGATTTTGGTCCTGTAAAAATTTTTATTAAATATGTCGACACCAATAAAAAAAATGAATATGATACAAAATTAAGTAAAATGAATAATAATGAGGCTGACGATGTTTCTAAACTCATATCTTTTAATCAATCTAAAGTATGCAATGGAAAGGTTATAGCACTGAATGATCCCACATGCCATGAATACGATTTAAATAGAACTTATCGCAACCAAAAAGCTCAAATAAAAAGTAATCTGAAAAATATTCCCCATATAATATCTAAAAAATCTATCGTTAACTGCTATAAAAACTTAAACAACCATTCCAAACATAATAATATTTCAAAAATTGGTTGTAGAGGAAAAAACCTATTGAGTTTTAAAAAGGATACTAACATATTTAGTAACAATCCGAGTTTATGGAAAAATTATACTATCAAAAATGATTTTAGATGGAATCGGTCCCCAGCTATGACAAACTTGCTGGATAAGAAATTAAAAATTTACCAGCAAAATGCCAAAAAACGAAAGAGTAATGGGTTAATCAGCTCCAGAAAATTACTTATGAATAGGGTTAGGGATGGAAAACATTCAACTTATTCCAACTCATTCACTTTTCCACCTGTAGATTTCTCGAAATCCTTGACAAGTAGGGATAGATATGCGAATAATATGACTACTCTGAAAACAATTCATGATGACCAACATTTAAAGAATATGTGCACCTCCCAATTGAATAAATCTCTTGTGGACCCCTATTTATTTGGTAGGGCATCCAGCAATAGAAACCTATCCAAAACGCATCTTAATTATTTAAAGCCAACTGCTTCTTGCAATTCCGATCCTCGTAAACACAGTTACACTACCAAATTAGCGCACCGTTTAAGGAGGATAAAAAATAAAACCCTTAAAAGTTACACCAAGGTATCAGAATCATTTACCAATCTACTGCCTTACAATCCTCGCCATTTGAATTCAACCTTGCAACGCATCCCAGTAAAAACTGGAAGGAGTAACAAGGGCAGAATTCTATTCAAAGAAAAAAAGGCAGCTAAGCAGTTGGGAGTTATAATGGGGGCTTTTATTATATGCTGGCTCCCTTATTTTATTGTGTTTATGATCATACCCTTTTGCGAGGGATGTGTAAGCAATAATGTTCAAATAACATTTACGTGGTTGGGTTACCTAAATTCCACAGTGAACCCATTTCTCTACGCCATGTGCAACTCTAAATTCAAAAACGCCTTTCAACACATATTCATGAAAACCAAAACTAAAAGGCCCAAGATCAAAAAATTATCATTAACTTTGAATAAATCTCGGTATAAATAGATGATCTCACCCATCACGTCATCCAGATATAGCTATCAAATTTTTTTACAATAATTCTTACATTCAATGTATTATATTATTACATAGTTATTGTTCCTCATGCGCCTTTAAGCCCATATCTGTCTCTGAATAAATCTACACATTAAACATGATAAAGGTGTTGTATTTTATTTTCCCATTACAATTAATTATACCCTTTTGCATAAAACTAATCACTGAAATGGTAAAGATTGTGTAAATTTATATTGTTTATTATGGAGTAAGGAATCAGAAATAAATTTTGTAATCGTCCAAAATTTAATAGGAAAATTTCGGAACCATTTTCTAAAAATATTATTGAATTTATACATATTGAAAAGATCTAGTTTTAAAAAAGTATAATTGTAAAATGTAAAATGATAAATTTAAATTACTTTAACTTTTAAAGTCTTCGTTGTCAATAAAATGAGTTCAACCAAAAAAAAGATAGAATTCTATTATTAATAAATTATTTTTACTTATAGAAAAAATAATATGTTTAATTATCCTTAAAATATTAAAATAAAATTTAGTTTTTTTTTTAATTTAGCTTAATAAAAGTGTATTATTTTTTATATACACTATTATAGGATTAATATTAAGAGGGAGAGGGAGAGGAGGGGCTTTAAACACCCAACGAATCCTCGTGAAAAAAATCTCCATAAAATAGTAAAACCCACAGAAATGGGGAAAACTGACTTGTTGAATAGATACATTCAAACTAAAAACTGATTTAGGCTAGAGTGTTAGCAATATTTATTAATAAATTTTCCTAATATCACCAAAACTAAGTAAAGGATAAGATCTGGTAGGCAAAGTTGTTAAAGTAGGGTTATACTCTTTTGTAGCTTTAGCGATAGCGGACTACTTATTTTGAAAATTATATCCTTAAGGTAGCACACTACTTTCTTAGTCGATATCACATAAACTAAAACATTGTCAAACCTCAGTTCATTTAAGGAGCACATACATAAATTTCCTAATCATCATATTAATTTCAATTGCCTTGTCCTTGTCCTTGTCAAAGAAAAAACTTTCTCAAAGGAAAAACAATGAGATCGCTAAAACAGCAACAATATAACAGTATTACATATAATTCCTTAAAATGCACATTTTACCTATATTCAATTATAAAATCATAATTATTTTATGGCCTTTAATGCATAGTGTATTTGTAGTCTAAAACTTATAAAAATTGTCATTGATCTACATATTTCTCAAAAATATTTTTCCTATTGATTTCAATACATAATGCTAAAGGTTAAAAATACAGATATTTTAAATTCACGAAATTTATATATTTTTTAAATTATCATTTTTGAATTATAAACAGGGTTGCCAGGTCTCCCCCCATCAGCGGGAGACTCCCGCAATTTTTTTGTTTACACGCATACATCTAACTCCCGCAAAACTACCTCAATTGGAAAAATATAGAAAAAATCTACTGCAATTTTTAAATTTCTCCCGCACAATTTCTTTTTAGCATTTTAACGTTTTTAATATATAAATAATAATTTTGAGAAAGTAATTGATTATTTTTATATTTTTAAAATAAATTTATAATATTTATTCAACATGTCTAGTTTGTAAATTTCTTTCTATCCTTACCTTAATCATATGTTTTATTTTTATCCAATAATAAATCAACATCATCCATTCATATTTTAACATTTTCATGTGTGTTTGTGTATAACATTATATGGCTAGGCGCTTAATTATCACGTATCACGTTTAAATACACAATAAGGTAACATTGTATTTATTTCAATGATAATTATTTTATTTATTATAATTCAATCACATTATTATAATCAGTGCAGGGGAGTGTATCTACATCTATTGCATTACAAAAATATGCTCCAAAAATAAAAAATGATACAACTTTAGTTAGGAAAATGGTATACACTTATAATGTAGTACAACATTCACAGTTACTTATCATCACAATGTGGGTCATTTTCCATAATATTTAACGACTCCAATAAGTGAATACTTTATTTATGGTAGAACAAAAATGAGCAAGGCTATCACCAATGTTTTAGGACCTGAATCCAGGAGGTCAATTCTTGACGATTTGAGAGATGGGCATCCATATCAATTCTAACAGATGCATCTAATAAGGGAAATATTAAAACATTTTCCTTGATCCTCCGCTATTTTAACAAAAATAAGGGCGTTTCAATAAAACTATTAAAATTTATTTTCCTCTAGTAAATATAGCAGATTTGGGATTATCAATGAGTTGCATGTATTCTTTCTGCGCTGATAATGCCTCAATGAATTTTGGCAAAAACCAGAGTGTATTTACAGAATTGAGGTAGCACAATGTTGACTTAATACCAATTGGCAGTTACTACATAATTCTTGAAAGAAGGCAGTGAATGTATTATATTTGGATGTCGAAATAATTGTGAAAAAATGTTTTAACGAATTTAGTTCATCACTAAAAGAGTTAATGAATTAAAAGAGTTGGTGGAGTGATCTGACTTAGAATGGTGTGAGTTGTTGTGACATGCCCCTATCAGATGGTTATTATTAACACTCGCCATTGATAGAATTTTAAAATTTTACGAACCTTTAAAAAAATATTTCTCAAATAAAGATAATAAAAGCTATCCTAATATTTTGAAAATCAGAGGCATATTTAGGAATAATTTCACTGTAGGAAATCTACTACAACTGTTAGTATGCAATTGCAATCAGAAGAATATTTTTTAATAAAGATTCACAAAATTATGTTGCAGTTGTGTTCATCTTTACAGATAAAAATTGACAATAAATTTTGTAGCGCTATTGCTAAAAATATCATATTAAATGTTAAAATATTACTCTAATTAACGTATTTTTAAATGAAGCAAAATATTTTTATTAAGACAATTTTAGACTATTTGCAATCAAAATTTGATTTCAATAATTCGATTATAGACATTATGACCTTGGAACAGAAACCATCAATTAATGGTTTACAGATAGACATTGATGTCGTTTGAGGAGATTTTTAATGCTCTCTATTTTTTGATTCTCCAGAATACTCAAATAAATATGGTCTAAAACAGAGGAGAAATGGGTGGAATTTTTCGTAATAACGATAAATCCCAATGCTTGGAAGAAATATGCGAGTATGTTTTCTCCTTAAGTCATTAATGCCTCATCGGAGCACAAATCGGATAGCTCTGACAACATTAGAAGCTGAGCTAATGGTTAATCCAAATTATAATATGACCAGCAATTTATAAATATCTCAATAAAGACGGTATACGTTTAGTTCCATTATTTAAATCTCAAACAAAATATAATTAATATTATAACTACAAACTATTAAATTTTCCATATTTTTTTTATATTATAATACCTTATCTATATATCAGAGTTGTTGAACCCTCTTTTAAAAGTAGCGCGCTATCGCTATTTGTCAAAAAAGTAGCGCGGTACCGCTATGGCTACCCATCGAAAAAAGTAGCGCGCTATTAGCTACTATTTTTTAAAAGTAGCTATGGCTACTTTTTAGACTACTTTTTATAAAAAATAATAGAGGTCTGCATTGGGCAGGTTTTTAGACCATAAGCTTGTCCACCCAATGTTTTTAAAAAATGTAACCCGCCCGCCCAGCCCGCCCATGATTTTCAAAAATAATACGTGCCCGCCCGCCCATTAGTCTAAAATTTTTTACCCTCCCATCCAATATTTATAAAAAAAATTTTAACCCAAGCCCGCTATTATGAAATTTAATTATGACCATTCTTTCAATTGTTAAAGCATCTAATAAAAAAAAATTAAGCATTACACCTCTACAAAAAGTTTTTAGGAAATTACTATATTAAGCATAAAAAAATATTCAATTTAAATTATGGAAAATTTATTTGATCAAATAAAATTATGAAAATAATATAAATAAAAAATTGATATTATGTGTAATTAATAATGCAAAAATAATAATGAATCGACATTTTCTGGATTCAAACACGTTCTTTATGTTTTAAAAACCATCCAGCAAAATGCTAAATCCTCGTTCAGAAGAAGCACTAGTTGCAGGAATTGCCAATATCTTTCTTGCTAATATTGATAGCTTTGGCAAATCTCTTTCTTGTCGTTTCCATCAAAGTAATTTTAAATATATAAAAAAGTTTATTTATTTTAAGAAAAATGTTTTTATGATACATAAAAAGACATTTTAATTTTTAATATCCAAAAAATTTCATAGAAACAATTTTTTAATATTTACTTAAATGATTTTAAATTTTTTTTTAGCTCGCTCGCCCGCCTGCCCGTTCTTGCCCGCCCAACAGCCCACCCACTTAGATAGGCGGGAGGGCCGAAATCGCCCCCAATGTAGACCACTAGTGTATAATACATAAAATCATCATTTATGAATATTTAAGTTAGTTTTGATTATAAAAAAAATTATGCAAAAAGACTATAATTTATTTAATAAAATAATATTTTATGGTAATTAATATTCATTTTTTATTTATTTTGTTGCATTTTAATAATAAAATAATTTCTACACTGTCATACCAAGTCTAGAGCGACGATCAGAAAGTATAAATTTCGTCTGACTAAAAAATCTCTTAACATTTTATATGCATATTTTTAATATAAGAAAAATTATCAAAAATACTCATTATTTTTAGATTTATAAAACGCGTCTAGGGGATTTTCTATTAAATAGTATCCTTTATTTCAAAAAAATTATCAATGGTAATCGTTTTTATGGTTCTAACTATGGCATCTTTGTTTGTTATCTCAATCATTAGTTTCTGGTGATAAAAAATTGATGTATCAAGGGATAGAGTTTTAATCATCATGAATGATGGAAACCAATAATACTGGCTGAACTATATCAATTATAAAATCGGCAATAACTTTATCAGCCAGTTTCTGATAAATATTGTGTGCAATATTATTAATCAATTTAACTTGAATTGAATTGGTCTTTTTGAAAGTAGTCTCCCCCATAACAAAATTATCAAAATGTTTTTCTATCGCTTTAAAACTGTTGGCATCAACATTCTTACAAAATAAAAACAAAATTATTAAGATGTTTTCTATCTCTTTAAAACTGTTGACATGTACAAAATAAAAATACTATTAGAATTTGAAAATGACAATTACCTTTAGGTGTTTTTTGAGGTTATAGCTACATTTGAGGATATATTTTTTTACAGTTTGAACAAATGAATATGTAGTCACCTTTTGTTTTTACATTAATTTGAAAATATTTTCAAGTTTTGCAAATGCAAGAATATTCTCTTCCAGGGTACCTTCCATTTCATTAATATCACAATTGTTTGACTCACTTACATCGATTTGGCCATTTGTGATAACATTTTGAATAATTTACACCAGATGATTTAGTAGCTAAGTAGCGCGCTACTTAGCTACTTTCAAAAAAAAGGAGCGAACTAAAAAAATAAATAGTTGGAAAAAAATAGCGCGCTATTAGCTATAGCTATCAAAAAAGATAGCGAGCTACTGTAGCGCGCTACTTGTCGCTAGCTACTTTAACAACTCTCTTTAATTCGCATAAAATAAATTTACTTTTTACATTGTAAAATTAAAAGCGATTGTTTTTTTTTATAAAATTTTATCTTGTTTTTACATTCTTTTATATTTGAAAAAGATCGTTGGTTTTTTTTATTTATATATTTAAATAAAAAAAGATGTTATTTTAAAAATAAAGATATTATTTAAAAAAATTTGTCTCTCGTTTGATCAAATTATTTTCTTTCTAT